CAACCTAGAGCAAGCCTTTTGGGGCAACTAAGTACTTCCCTATTAGGGTGCCAAGAATATTCTGTCATTCGCTCAGAAAATATTACGCCTGGACGAGATAAAAAGATCCTTTCTATACATTGCAAGGAAACAATTAAGTAAGGTTTCTTTACAGTGACTTGCAAAATGTGAGCATCACGGACACTTTGCCGTATTCCCAAATGGTTCCACCAGACAATATCTCCGAATAACTGTAGCGAGTCAACGTAAAGTGATAAATTAAAGCAGAAAAGTAAATATTTAACCCCACAACTCCCAGAGGAGGTATGTATGTATTTCTGGATATAATCACGGCTTAACAAGTCCCATGTGCCAACCTATAACAGAGGATGCTGGTAAGACATCTAATCTACATACATACAACACAGGCCTGCTGTACTGCGTTCTGCCGTGACGATTACGCAAAGTGATCCCGCAAGGCTGCGCAAAGAGCAATTCGGTATATGTTACGTTGGAGATTAAACATGCTAGTTGCATAATTTGCTTATCATTGATCATAGGCTGTATTCAATCCCCCCCGATAGGCCAGTGTGACTAAACGGCTGATTATATAAACACACTATAGTAACAATGAGCAAATATTTGAGTATAAGACAGACTTATAACTAGGGTTGGACGTGCGCCGCCAGATTGTTTCCTAAGTGAATTAAAAGAACCTATGACTTAAAGGGGAACTATGGGGTCAGGGCTTTTCCCCATAGTTCCCCTAAGGGTCACTGTCGAACACAAACTAGCGTTCTCCCCTCACCCAAAGCTCAGTATACCGCGAGCTAAAGCCCGCGGTATACTGAGATGCCGCAGCCAGGACAGATCCTGACATTTCTGTCGAGATCCACCCACCTGTGGGATTGACCGCTGGCTCTGCCTATCCAAAAGCAAATCGAAAAGGCAAATTGGAACATGAATAAACGAGTGCCTGATTGAGGTTGGTGGCTTGAACCCCTGTCGAAAATTTCAAGACATCTTTTGGTTCTTATATATATTTCCCACCATGCTGAGAAATCTATATAACTGAAATATCTTTAAACGCTTAGGAAATGCTAATTATCATCAATTTTTTAATTGTAATCCTTGTCGAAAGGATCGGTAAGATCAGAAAATATAATTCACACTGCATGGTGTGCACGGGGCCAGAGCAGTGTCTCTTCTGCTCTGTCTCTGTATGCTGTCAGAAGGTGCAAGTGCTTGCTGTTAGAGAGCGATGGTAGGAATGATCTATGTCAAGATGCCAAAACAAGTATACCAGCCAAAGAAAAGAAAGAAGGTGGCACACTGTAAAGCCTGATGTTTCTAAAGCTTTAGTATACCAGACAAGCAACACAAAGCCCCACCTAGGACCTCCTCCTCTAATGCGTTTCACCCACAACTGGGCTTAATCATAGCGGTGCTACGAATAAGTCCAGTTGTGGGTAAAATTTGTTAAAGGAGGAGGTCCTAGGAAGAGCTTCAGGTTGCTTCTCCAAAATAATAAAGCTTTACAAATGATGGGTATTATGTTGTGCCGCCAGGCTGTTTAATTTGGATTCATTGATGGCTTGGAGGAAGGACAAAACCCTGCTTGGCGTCTGCACCCAGTCAGCCAAAGGAATTCGCTCATTATAAAGGGCTTGGGAGCAGCACAAAACTCTTATTGCTAAGAATACCAGTATGGGGCAAATCCTGCCCCTCATCACTCCACAGGTAACCTTGTACCTTCAGATAGTATCCAAAAAATGCATATGCAGATGTGAACCTTGCTCTGGACCAATGCGGGACAGTCAGTGGGACACTTGCACTCTTTGGCCATTTATCGTCTTCAGTTTTTAAATCCACAATTATCTTGCTACAGTTGAATAGAATAAATAAAGAAATAAATTCACACAGCCACAGATTGATCATTTATATGAATCATACTAAAAGTGCTACTTATTTCTAAATCATATAGTTAATCCCAGCTATGTCCAATTTAATCATATTTCTGAGAAGACGTTATGACTGATAAATGCATTTGTATTCATTTTATTTTGTAATAAAATACTGTTATGGGAGTTCCGAGAACGCGCAGAGCGAATATAAAGTGGCAATGCCCAGGCTTTTGTTTTTCATTTGGAATAGAGCGGGAAGGCGTCAAAACCTTTGTCAGATTTTTATGCCTATTGGTGTTCACAAATACTGTTTTCTTCTTACCCCCCCCAGAGTCTAGTTGACCACCTGTAATCAGGTCAGAAAGTTAGGAGGAAATGTCTTACAGAGATAACAAAGCAATGGTTGTAACCCTTCCCTTCGCCATCCACATTTTTTATAAACCATGGACATGCATCGTTAGTTAAAATGGTGGTGTGCGTGG